CATTCCACTCATGTCCTCACGAGAGGCCTCGCTAAAATACTTCATCATTCAGACACTGCAACAGAATGTATGCTTATGCAATCATAACCTCCACACTTTTGAAAACAGGGACTTCCCCACTACACTGATGGTTCCCAAGAGTGTCAGATGGTATCAGTTTCAGTTTCAGTTTCAGTTTATTGTAATATTCCATCAATCAAGAACAGGCTACAAATGTCGCCAGTCTGATATAGAACCAGTCACAGATATACAATACACCAAATACCCAAAGAATATACTATGTATGCTTTGAATATTAAAATAAATCAGTCACTAAATACTAATGTATATGATTAGCATAAAAGTCTATTAAGTAGGAGCCAGCAAGAGCCCTATAAAACATTTTACATTTAGTAACATTGATTACTGGTCCTTTCTAATTAGTTTAATAAAAACCTAAAATTTAAAATAAAGTAAGAAGCAAAATAGAATTACAATGACTGTGATAAGTATATAGTATCACAAATACCAAAGGAAATAGAATATCCCATTTTATTTATTGTTAAAAAACTCCTGCAATGAATAAAAGGAATTTTCTAGTAAGTATCTTTTTAATGAAGATTTAAACAGTTTCTTCTTGTCTATGATGCCTTTCAAATAGGATGGAAGCTGATTAAAAGTCTTAATGCCCATGTAATAAACACCTTTTTGATAGATAGACAATCTTGGTTGCGGGAAATGAAAATTATTTTTGCTTCTGGTATTTATACTATGCAAATCTGTGTTAGTTTTAAATAACTCTCTGTTATTTGATACAAAAGTTAACAATGAAAATATGAATTGGGAATATAACGGTAATATGTCCAAATGTTTAAACAGTTCTCTACATGAGTCTTTTTCTGGAATTAGTGATAATTCTTATTACCCTTTTTTGCAATCTACATGTACTGCCACTATAAGAAGAGGTCCCCCAGAAAATTAACCCATACATCATAACGCTGTGAAAGCAAGCAAAGTAAATCATCCTCAAGGATTCCAGTGATACAAGGGGTCTAAGTGTCATAATTGCATAGGAGGCTTTACATAATTTTACCTTGAGACCATGAATATGATTTTCCCAAGACAGGGAATCATCAATAGTAATACCTAAGAATTTTGTCTCTGTGTTATTACCGATACATTTATTGTTATAACTGATGTTTATTGGAATAGTTAAACTATTCATCGTTTTAAATTGTAGGTATTGAGTTTTATCAGAATTTAATGCTAATAGATTTGTGTTAAACCATTTATTTAATTGATCAAATGAGAAGATAAGGTCTTTTTTAAAATTTATACAATTAGTATTATTAATTATTAATTATTATTATTATCAGATGAACAGACTGCTTGTTGATAATAACAGTACAGAAAGTTGCACCCATAATGCTAATCCTGTACTTAAGAAGAACAGAACCCGTAGCCCTAACAGTATTCCTGATGTTAGTGATCACAGGAGCAACAGGAGGGATAAACCCAACTTCAATATGAAAGATCCTAATTTATCAGTCAACCACACAGGATGAGTATTAGCAGCTACGTTGGGAGGAGACAACCTATGGATCGTGTACTTTGCAGTATTATTCCTGCTTACAGCAGCCATAACCACCATTACCAAGTCATGCAACATCTCATTCCTCAGCCAGGCAGTGACAGTCAACGAAAAGGCAATCGCTATTACATACTGTTTACGACCTTGTCGTCAGTAGGTAGCTTCTGCCATTCATTGGGTTCCTACCAAAGTGAGTTGTAATCCAAAAACTAATTGTGAACAACCTAAGCTCTGTTACAACAGCAATAGTGGTGATAACATTAGCCACCCTATGTTACTACTTACGAGTGTGCTATTCAAGATTCATTATCCTACATGCAGAGACAAAGTGAATCGTGTGAACACAAAAAGCGAGATCACTAAATGGAGTCATACTACCTTCAGTACCAATACTGGGGCTGATAGGCAATCGCTATTACATACTGTTTACGACCTTGTCGTCAGTAGGTAGCTTCTGCCATTCATTGGGTTCCTACCAAAGTGAGTTGTAATCCAAAAACTAATTGTGAACAACCTAAGCTCTGTTACAACAGCAATAGTGGTGATAACATTAGCCACCCTATGTTACTACTTACGAGTGTGCTATTCAAGATTCATTATCCTACATGCAGAGACAAAGTGAATCGTGTGAACACAAAAAGCGAGATCACTAAATGGAGTCATACTACCTTCAGTACCAATACTGGGGCTGATTGCATGAACCATAATTACCATCAACTAAGAGAATTACTGCCAGTCACGGTAGCCGAGCGGTCTAAGGCATGCACTGTCGTCGTTCGCTCGGAAGCCAGGATCATGGGTTCGAATCCCACTCAGTGCATGGATGTTTGTGTGCGTTTTTCTGTGTTTGTCTACAGGTAGAGGCCTTGCCACGAGCTGATCACTCGCCCAAGGAGTCCTACTGTATGTGTAAGATCTAGAAAAACCGAAGTGAACGGAAGAGTTCATGGAGGTAGGCCTAGGCCCACTGGGGCTGTAGTGCCAAGGGGGGGAAAAAAAGAGAGAATTACTAATTAATTATTACTTACTTAATTACTTACTAATTACCTTCAAAGCTATAAATAAAGAACATATCTTTAAGGCTTAGTGGCAACGGGGGGCACGCGGTAGTGTAGTTGGTTGAGGCACTATGCTACAAGCTGGAAGGTCACAGGATTGAATCCCAATGAGGTCATTGGATTTTTTTCAATTTACGTAATCCTTCCAGCCACACTATGACCCTGGGGTCGACTCAACCTCTAACAGAAATGAGTACCAGGAATATTCTTGGAATGTTCTTTGGGGTAAAGGGTGGCTGGCACGTAAGGCTGAGCAACCATGATGCTAACAGACTGAAAACTAAACACATCTTTCTTCAACCCTGCCAGAGGGAGTGACCCAATCCTATACCATCCCCTGTTCTGATTCTTTACACACCCAGAAGTATATATTCTAATCCTACCTGGATTCAGGATAATCTCACACACCATGAAACATGTAAGAGGGAAACATTCAGACACCTAGGAATAATCTTTGCCATAATAGCCATCGGCCTACTGGGATCTGTAGTGTGGCCCCTCCACACATTTACAGTGTGGATGGATGCATACTTTACATCAGCACTAACAGTCATTCCAGAGCTGATAGGGATCAAAATCATCAGGTGACTAACAACAGTGTATGAGTCATAACTAACATACAGAGCAACATGCTTATGGCCACTAGCATTTATGTTAGTATTACCGATAGGGGTGCTGACAGGGGTGCCTCTAGCAAACTCATCAATCAATATCATCCTACACAATATATACTACATCTGGTAGCCCACTTCCACGACATGCTGTCCACATGTGTCGTCTTCGCAATCATAGCTGGATTCATCCAGTGATACCCGCTATTCACCAGACTAACCTTGAACCCAAAATGACTAGAGGCATAGTTCACAGTAATATTTGTAGGGGTAAACATGACATTTTTCCCACATCACTTCCTAGGCCTGGCCTGTTGTAGTCTTGTAGATGGATACCAACATTTCAGAGGAACTTGCTGACTCCATGTTACTGAAGACAGGGACATCACCTTTGAAAAATTGTTATCCACCCACAATGCATGGTATCATAACCTAAAAGACTGCAATGTGAATCTTCACTGTTGTGATAACCTCAAATCTTGCACAATGTGATTTGCTTTATGAAGCTGAATGGTTAAAATTCTGCCTGTCTATTGAGTGGCCTGTGGTATTTTGTTATTCTTTTCAGTGTCTCCTTGTTAACATTAAGACACTCAACTAACCAGTGTTTAATAGTGAGCTTGAATATTGGGCACAGTGAAAGGGCAAAGAGCTACCCCACTAATATGTCTTGAACTTTTCCACACAGTATTACTCTCATGGTCCTTCAAATATTATTCAAAGACCAGGAAATGTATCACTAAAAGAAGGTCCCAAAATATTGTTCATAGTGAGTTGTTCAGTGTTACGTCATCATCAGAGCTTGGTATGGTGTAATGACTGGAGGAACTGGATGTCTAACATGTACATAAATGTAACTTTCCTGTCCAGCTCCTGTTTCCTACTGTGAACTTAAGAGAGAACACCCAAAGACATGAAATTTACTCCATACACTTGCCAGTATGCACAGTAACCATGGCTGTTAAAGTGACATGCGAAGTACTGTAGTAGAATTTGAGGTTTTCATGGCGGTGACTATGAAGAAAGCAGTCTTCTGGGATTTGGCACCGTGTATACGTGGTGTTAACCGACGTTCCTCCAAAAAGTCGGTTAACACCACATATACATGGTGCCAAATCCCAGAAGACTGCTTTCTTCTTATTGTAGTAGAGTTTTCAGCTACAGCTTGGATCCCCATTTCCCTATCTTTTCTTTTAATTGCATGAGTAAATTTTAATTTATTAATTTGAGTGTTATTCCTTCATTAAAGTTTTAGCTACAAAATAGACCGAAATTTGATTAACTACTTTATAATTTGTATATTAAATATCTGTTCTTGTGTTATATTTTATTGTAAATATTAATTTAATAATAATTACATTGAAACAAAAGTCAGAGGCAGACAACAGATATGGAATTGTGGAAGAGTAGTGAAGGGAAAACAACAATTGTAAATAATGTTGTTAAATAAAGTGAAATTTAGAATTTCTTAGCACAGTCAAAAGGAAATAACAAACAGCTATGGTTTGTCTGTGTAAAAAGAATGAACAGAACAGGGATACTGAGAAGGGCATTACAATTAAAATTTAAAGAAAAGTGATTTATGGGGCAGCCCTGAAGTGGATAGTTTAGCTAGGTACTGGAAAATGGTTAGCAAGAAATTGAAAAGGAAAGTTTGTGTGAAAAAAAAAAAGAGAGAGAGAGAGAGAGAGAAAGATTCAGGCTTTTCCTCCATTGGCATCTGTGAAATGGGNAATGGAAATGATACTAAAGAAAGAGAAATAATGTTTGAATGCAGCTAATTTGCTGCTTGATAGAAATATTTTGTCTGTTTTATTGTGACCAAGTAAATAAAATTCATGAGTAACATGTACTTAGGGCTTAATAGTTTTAATTAGCAGTTTAGTAGATGCTTTCCCATGATATCTTCAGAATGAGAACACACTTCTGCCATTATTACAGAAGTGTCATAGAAGTTTGTTCCAGCATGTCTCACAAGCTTCCATGACTGCTTCATCATTGCCGTTGTGCTGGTATCTTACAGGATACTTGTGGGGCCCAAACAAGTGACAGTTCAAGGTGGCAAAATGAGGAAGCTTTTTACATATTTTGTGATTGTCACAGTGTACGAGTAAATCATGTGCTCTCATCCTGAAAAATAATTGCTTCTCATGAAATGTGTATTGCAGCTTCTTGAATGTTGTACCACAGAGATCTGTATGGATGGTTTCCAATTTGCACAGGGAATCAACCAAACAGCAGTCCTCAGCAGCCCAAAAGACAATTCTCATAGCTCTGGACTTCTTCACTACCCATGACTTTCAGCATGCATGATGTACACACAGTTGACTCTTGTTATATGCAATTTTGCTATCCACATTTTGAAATTTGCCATTTTATTTCACTGTCATGAAGAGCAGTGTTCTATTTCCATGGACACAGCAGAAGCTGCCACTCATGCCGTGAGCCGCACGTACAGTTTCCTTGACTCATCCCAACCATTTTGACTGTGTCATGTTGCTTCCTACTCCTTCTCCATCTTGCTCCTTCTTTGTTCAGTGAATCATATATTTTATTCGTTTTCAAATACACAGCGATTTTCAAGTGCAAAATCCCCACATGCATTGCTACTCACATGCATATGCATGACAGAAAGAGAGACAGTACTACCATTTTAACTTCTCTTTTTCTTCACAAGGATGTTAGGAATAAAATGTAAAAATTTTGTAATGTACTTTAAATGTAACTTGGATTTATATAGAAACTGCCTTCCTTCAATAAAACGTTGTTGGCATGCATCCACAACATGGCACCATAGATCCCCTTGTCCCAGCATAGTTTAATAGTCTGTCAACAGTGGTACCAAGATGTTGTCATCATAACTTTGTGAATTACACACATCACCATCGCTGCCAAAGATAAGTTTCTTATTTCATATGTTGTAAAACATTTCTGAAATACAAATAATTTTATTGCATTATCTTTTTAGGCAAAAAGAAATTTATAACATGACAGGCTCAGAAAATATTTCAGTTTGGTGGTAATAACTCCTCAACAGTGCAGTGGCAACTTACGTACCATATGCTTTAGCATTAAAAGAACTGCATTTTGCCCACAGAGTATTTATATGTGTTCTGTGTTTCATGAAGAATAGCGATTCACCGCCTACAATACCCAGGGTCTCTTCACTGTGTGGAGCTGAGGTTCAGTCAGAAATAAAGCAATCTAGTATGCCGAGGCTTAAGGGCCATCTAGCATGGACACCAACAGTGCCTTGCCCTAACTAAAGCACTGAAATTTAGAATGGAAAGTCACTTATTTTATTTAATGTGTGAATTATGATTATGGCGAGAAGCTTTTTGAAAATAGTGGATTTTGGCATATCCATAGGTGCATCATTTTATTCATGTAGACCCTGCTTTCTGTCAGTAATGAAAAAAGAAATAAAAAAAAAAATGTCTCACTTTCTAACACAATAAAATTACCAATTCAGTTTGTGTAAGATGAAAATAGATTATGAGGGGCTGAAAAGGGTTCCATTTGTCACAGTATGCAAGCTATTGTATGTGAATTTCCTGATGAAGATTAATTTCTTTTCATGAAAGTTTTGACTGACGGAATATATATAAACAGCTCTAGATGATCCTGTTCATTGCAGTTAATTAGAATACTCCAGTAAAGACACTGGTACTCACCTGACATTAGCTCTGTATCAACCTCTATGCCTATCGAGACCTGATTCTGAAGTTCCACCCCTCTCGGACAATTTTAACCTCATTACATAACCTCTATGCATGTTCTTAGCATCATAGTGTACGTGATTAATGTTATTAGAAAGTATTATTGCTGAATTCTGAGCAGAAATGCCCTTAAATTAAATACTATAGCTATTTCTGCTTGATAAAGATTCTTCTTTTACTTTTAAGTTCAGCTTTCTGCAGTTTAGATTCTTTCACACACATGAAATGTTTCTCAAACAATTAATGAATGTACAGCAATGACACTATGTTCATTTATTTTATAGCATTTAATAATACCATATAATTAATAAATATTTTGCTGGAATAGGAATTTGGCGTGTATAGGCCTAATATTAAATCATGTGTATAACCATATGTTTCTTTTTACGTATAAAATTTCTGTAGAGGAAAGCAAAAATCTGGCAATCAATTTTCGCTATTAAATTCGGATAAAATAATCACAGAACACAATAATGCATGCAAAATGAACCTGCAAAATTTCAAAACTCTTGCACTAAAACTGCAGAAGTTATAAGCAAATATGCATATGCTTTCTGACTTACTTCCTAGCTTCAAGAAAATCATTCAGCGAGCATTCGTGTTCAGAACGCCCTGGAGTTGAACCAAGGGCCATAATGTAAAGTATGAAGGCGTTTGTGTAAAGTTTAATGCAATTTGAGGGCAAATATTATTTTACTGAAGTGAGAAAATTTTAACGCCTGGAAAACTTCAGATTCAAAAGCAGGCCATTTGGATGGTCTTCAGTGCATCTACAGTTTTTTACAATTGACATTATGTAACTCATGAATATTTATGGCCTGGAGTTTGCAAATATGCATACATTCATATAAATTTCATTTTAGGTTATGATTTCTGCCATTTTTTTTTTTATGTGAAGATGGCGACTTATTGGATATTTACGACCTTATAGTAACCTTGAAGTATAGGCGGGGGTTGGGGTTGGTCGCGTACACGTGTCTGCATCTTTGTTCGTTTGTCTTGCAACTTTCGATCTATGACGTCACATGTTACATTGGCGGGAGTTTGTAGCCCCACCCTCGACAGCTTCCCTCCAAGAAATATACCGTTAATAATAACAAAAAGACACTAATTATAAGGCTATAAATTCACAAAACTGATTTATTGTCAGTGTATCCTTACGCATTGCTGTGCTTAAGCATCAGATCACGACGGCGTATAGGGGGCGCGTAGGCAGAATACCCATTCTAGATCGGGACGCAATCGTTAATGTGGGGTAGTTAGCTTCAGGCTCCGGTAGCTTTACCTGCAGTGAAATGTATGTTTGTGTATTTCATTACTTTATAACACCCTGTCCTCATAGTCTGTTATTTTTCAGGTTCTCGTGCTATTCGTATTATCGAATGGGAATATGATTGATTGTGAATGGCATATTCGCGAGAATGGGTTTCCCAACAAGCCACTTTTCGTAAAACTTTCTTGTTCCTTCCACCTTGGCTACATAGCCACCCCATCCTAACTTCTAGTTGAATACTCTAACAGTGCTTGGCGACACCCAGTATCCTTTTGTTTCCGCTTACCTTGTCTCTCCAAATATTTTACTGAACATTTAATTTTCACTGACTTGAAGATTAATTTTCCTCCCTGAGAGTAAAGGTCACGCTTCGAAGCTGTACGAAACGGTTACGTTGTGTATATATGCCAGGCTCTAGAATAATATTTGAGCTGCCCCTTCGTGATTTATTAAGAATTCACAATATCAATGAAATTTCACTTATTCCTTTTAATATTATCATCTGAGTCACCCATTGATATTTTTCGATCAGGTTTTTCAACCACAACTTCCTACATATCGTATCCTCTTTCATTCATACTGAATAACCTGTCCATCCATCTGATAATATTAAGTCTGATAAGCCAGGCGCCTGTGTCAGCTGTGTCGATGGTTGGTTTCAATGAAGGGCGACCCCGTAGGAGGCATTTTCTGTTCCCATCAACGTCCATGCGGGATCTTGGGAGACCAAGTACGTATCGTGGGGTTCGTACCCTCTTCCATGTACTCTCGATGTCTAAGAAAATGTTGATTTTTACCTCCACGTCTTCATACACATCCAAGTGTAATACCCAGCTTCACCATCCAGCTTATCGTCATATTTATTTTAACAATTTTGGTTATAAACCAAGACTCGCCATATTTTGTAATTATCTCTATTATCTTGTTTATTTATTTTCAACTATTTCTTTGATCTGAGGTTCTCACGGTGGTGAATAAGAAGAGTTACATCTTATGGGTTATAACGCCATGTAGTGCGTTAAAAATCAATCGACGTTTCGGAGTAACATGTCTCAATCTAAATGGTTGAAGAGTAAGCTAAGGAAGGCAATAGCGTGAACTACACTTACCCTTTGACCCTGAATATTGCGACATGTTCCTCCGAAACGTCGGTTGACTTCATCGGACTACACGCCTTTGTATCCCAGATGATTGAATACCTTTCCAGCATTTTGTTTTGGATTATCTGTCTTCTTCACTCAGAGTGTGGGACGGGGGCTTTGTAAACGTAATTATATTATAATTTTATGTTCATCGAGTGTTAATACACAGGCCTGTGTGGATAACTTGGACTGCACCTGAAATGCAGGGAAGTCTTAATTTGGACAAATTATGATTTACACTTCAGTTATTTCAAACGAGCCGCCAATGAACACGTCATCGGTATATCTTCCCGCCACTGAATACGTCATCGATAAGACTTCCCGCCAATGAATACGTCATACGTCTTTCCGCCTATCGTAATCTGGCCCTTCTACACACGACGCCTTGCCCTGTGGCAATCGCCGTGACGTGACATTGAGCCGTCTGCGTGTGATTGAGGTGGATGTGAGGAAGGAACAGGTCCGCAGGTTCACGACAGTTTGCGCTCTAGGTCAGTGTTCAGTGCCGTAAAATGCATCAGCTATATATCTCGCAGGTATTTGTAGCTTCTTATTAATTAAACTGAATTAATTTCCACCTAAAACAATATCAAACGATTTTATAGAATTTTGCGTGAAGGACAGCAAGTCGCGTACATTGTGCGTAATCGTCATCGAAGTGTTTTGCATTTTACCACTCAAAAATAATCTACTAAATTCTGCAGTCGTAATTTCTACTTAAATTGCGTATTACAAGATTATAAACTGTGCAATTAGTGTTTATTCGTTAATTAGCAGGAAGGATTAGCTGTAAAATTTGTAGCAATTTTTGGCGCCTTTTTTGGCGCCTCTTTATAATGAGGCTGAAAAGTTAAATATTTCACTAATTTTAAAGGATTAACTTATTTAGAAATTCGTAATTATTTGTGTGCCAAATTTTTCATTTATATAGAATCTCTTAATGACCAGAGCAAATACAATATATATTCACGAGATTTAAAAATTAATATGAAGCATTCACTGTAGAAGATGGTAGACATTTTGGATTTTTCTTTCAGCGCCAACATGAATGTTGATCGTAATCGAAATAATATGTTGTACATTAATAACTGCGTTGATTTCTGAGTTCATTGTAATT